GTTGTCAGTGAAGGGGTGAGTGGAGCAGGGGAGAGAATTTTTAACATGTGAAATGAAGCCAGGAAATGAGGAAATGAAATAAATATGGAATAGCAGGACTTTAATTCACAATCACATTTTCCAGATATAACTCCCTTTTGAGGATGATCACTTGCTCCAATCCTCTAGGATAATTAGAGAGCAAGGCCTTGATTCCCTCCTTACATTGGGGAGTGGGCAACCCTGTTGAATTATTCTGGTCACACAGAGAAATTCTTCCACTGGAACAGAATTTGAAGCCCACAAGCAAAGGATCATTCAGAATTGAAGCTTTTGCACAATATGAAAGACACACAGAGAGAAACCCACATTGCCAAATTCTGCCAAGGCTTTATTGCCAACAGCTGCAGCTCTGGATCTGAGTGGCTGACATTTAAGTATCACAGGGAGTGACAGAGGTGGGGCAGTAATAGATGGCGACTTTCTCTCTTCCCTTCTCTAATCTGCTTTCAAATGCAAGTTTAATTATTCATCCTGTTTATGGACAAGGAAAGAAAATTAATACAACTTGGGAAATGATTCATCCAGTTTCTGGCAGCAGGCAGATTATGAGAAATAGTCACAATTGCTGGTCTGTGACAAAATGAAGTTTTAAAATATTTAGATCTTGCACGTGCTGAGAGCTGGAGGGAAGAAAAAAGTGAAGACTCTTGGAGAAAAATAAATGAAAGACATGAAACACTGAGGATTATGGGGGGATTAAGTCTATGTGCCAGTCTATCAATTAGTATTGAAGTAGCAAGCATCTCAATGTCCACCAAGAATAAATGCAGCCAGGCTATAAAACAAAGAACAGTTGCTATCACGGAGATGGAAGAAACAGGACATTCAGATCAAACTAAATCCAAGACATTTGTTTAAAACATCATTGTGGACAGGTAGGGAGAATGAGGGAGAATGAGGCATCTATCTTAGGGAGCAGACAGTGAGAGCAACCAAAAGTTATTGGAAAAAAAGAGGTGCACAAAGACCCTATAACTGTTATTTTTGGTGGGGGGCAACATTGTAATATTGCATATTTGGAAAATTTGGAAAATTCTGACTTTTTTCCCAGGAAATTTCGGAAATAATTTCAGAACCAAATTGCCAGTGCCCCCTACATCCGAAACGAGTTTTGAACCATTTTTTTTCCCGTGATCAAACAAGCCTAGTGCATAGGTTGGAGTGCAGTTGTTTATTTAATTCCTGGTTTGGTTCAATGACAATAACTCCCTATTTTTTCAGATTTGATCATCTAGTACACTTTTGCTTGGTAATTCATGAACATCTTGGTGGAACAATCTCAGCAGATTATCTCAACTGGAAAAAATGTGAACAGGATGTGAGGCATGTCACTTGCATCCATTGCACATTACAAAATTATCGTGCTATGAATAAATTGCTTTGGAGTTCGTAACTTGGTGAGGTATTGGAGCTTTCAGGCCGAGAATACAAAATACTCCTCCCTAAATTGTAAATCCCTGGAACCCTAGATTGCAACCATGGAAGTTAAAGTGGAACCATAACGCTAAAACTGTGTAGTGTGGAAGGGTCACAGGATATTTCTCTTTGTGTAGGAGTGAGCAAATTAAAGGGTCTGAGAACCATTTCCTACACCCAGAACTTGATGTTGGCTGTTAAAGCTCATTCTAGAGACCCATTTCCTACACCGAGGACTTGATGCAGGCTGTAAAAGCTCATTCTAACAAAACTGGAGGAAACTAGAAAGTCACTTGTTTGAAAACATTTGTTCAATTTTTGATAAAAGTTGGAATACGGGATTGTCTTATTTTAGAGCAGGACTGCACTCCCCGGAGGAGTGCAGTCATTCTATCTTATTTTCTTACTCCCTCCCAAATATTGAGTGCACAGTAGAAGAAAATAAGCCAAAACTACATGTGGCCCATGGATTGCCAGATTCTAAGGCTTTGTTTAGTTGAAGAGGGGTTCTTAAGAGCTTGGTGGTGACAACTGTATGGTGGAGGTGCCATCCCATCTGAAGCAGCATACAACTACAAAGATATTCTATTCAAGAAGTTTAACGTATGTATATACATAGTAGAAAGATTAGGTGGAAACTTCTTATTTATCCCCCTGACCTTGCTTCATTAATATCTCTAACAAACATTTACAGAGTCACTTAATTCTAATAGCTTTCCAGTGTTTATGGCCATTGCCATCATGCTGCTCAGGTGTGTGGCTCTGCAGGACAAGAAAAAGTAAGGAACTCCATAAACCAAATTTGGGGGCTGGGGATAAACAGACTCATTAGGATGTAGAAATGTAAAGACAAACATAGAAGAGCAAGAGAAAGAACAAGTGATACCACAAAGTCAGGAGTGGGTTGCCTTGGGAAAATGTTTGGATGCTTTAATATGTCCAAAATGTTCTTGAGGAGGTTAAAGGGAACATATAACCTCCATGTTGAAACAGCTCCACTGGCTTCAAATCTATTCTAGCTATGGCTTTTATAACTCTACAGGGCATCTATCCAGAGCATTTCAAAGACCTATCTCCCAGTATGAGCTTGCCTGTACTTTAATATTTGCAGTGGAAGTCTTTTTCTGGATCCTGCCATCACCCCAGGCATCTTTGGTGAGGTCACGAGAGAGGCTCTTCTGGTTGGCTGCTCCCCAGGCATGGAAATCTCCTCCATGCAAAGTCCATCTGGCCCCCTGCTTGTTTAAGGAAGCTTTTGGGCTGTAGTGTGTTGCAGCAAATAAGGGTTTTAATGAAAGGGGTGTATGTAGTATTTTCATTTTATTATTTCAATTCTGCTTTTAATGTTTACTTGTGGATTTTAAGTGAAACCATTTAATTTTATTTGGTTTTAAGTTTTAATTGGATTGTGTAATTACTTGTGAAGGGTGAGATATTAATAAATTAATATGAGTGGTCTCCTTGCCTAACTGCAACCATTCCTGTTTTGCATAAACTGCATTTCTTGTAACTCCCTATTTGTCCTCAGAAATCATCTACATTTTACAATGGTTGACAGAAATTTAACACTTCCAAATCGGCCATCACACCCCACACTATACTTTGAGTCTATAATTCTGATAAAACCATAAGATAATTGTGAATTGGGATTAATTCTTGCCTTACTTTGCTTTCTTGACTTTCTCAACTATTTTCCCAAGTGGGAAAATAGTTGGGAAAGTCAAACAACTCTTTAATCAGTTGTTGCTAGTTTTTAAAATATTCATTTTAGCAGTAATAACCAATAAAAGATAAAAAAATCTAACCCCATCTATGCAGATTCCACAAATCTGGACTCCAGGGATTGGATGGGGTGCAGTGTGAGTACATGTTGCATTCTGTAATTATGGAACTCTCCAAATGAGGATATTTTTGTATGCCCTACCACATGCTATTTACTCATAATTATTCTGTATCTTCTGCAACACTGGTGGCAAAGCGGTTTCCAATTTTAATTTTATACGCCTCTTGGGTATGTCATTTCCTTGCCACTGTTAAAGAGCACCAGTGATTTACATCAGCAATGTTTAATTAATTCTAAAGGCCAAACAGTATAGTTCTCATTCTATCTTATTTGAGTGAATCTATCATTCATAGGACTATAATGGTAGTTCAAAAGAAGGGGCAGGCCTCACTATCAAAGCTTTTCTTATTAACCTATAATGCATCTGACTCTGAACAAATTAAAAAACAAACAAACACGAGGCTTCTTTCTAAATACAACATTTTTATCAGTTCTCATATACTCCAAAGTCATTTAGAATAATTCAAGAACATAGAAATAGCTCTGTTGGAGCAAATCAGAGGCATGCCTAGTTCAATGCTCTGTTCACACAGTGGTCAGTCAGTCTTACGGGGAATCCTCACAACATCCTTATGGTGCCCAGATGTATACTGTCTATGATAATAGTGTAATAGCTTGATGTCATAACTTGTAACTATTGATAAGCTTATGCTCTGTGAAAATTTCCAGTCTTCGTTTAAGCAATCCAAGTTGGCAGTCATCACTGTTATCTCTTGGCAGCACATTTACTGTGTGAATGAGTATTTTCTTTTATCTGTCACAAATGCCCAACCCATTAGCTCATTGAATGACTCCATGGGGTTCTAAAATCATGTCACTTGTCACAGGGCTTTCTTTCCCAGATCCAAACAGGAATCAATAATCAGAATAGGCATCTTGACCTTCTCTGGTTCCAAATATTAGTATCTAAGGCCAAGAAGACAGGCTGAGATCAAGGATGAGTCAAATATGAAGGGCAATGACCATTCCAGTCCACAGTGCAAATTGCTGTGTTTTAGAATTGGAAAGTCTCAAACTGAGGAAGACATTCACCCTAGCATACACATGTTACCCATGGGACTTTGAATATATGATGAAACCACGGTGTTCATAAGGTCTTTACTCTGTCCATATAGTGCAGTGGTTCCCAACCTTTTTTTGACCATGGACCACTTTGACCAGGGACCACTCTCTAACATTAGTACCAAAAGGGTTACGAATCAGTTTTTGGTCAACTTTAGATTCAGTTTGGTTATTTGGAGTGCTGATTCAGGAAACTGCATTGGATAGACCACATCAGCTTTAATTTCTGATACAGAGCACATGCCATCCAGTAGTCACCATCTGCTTGCCCACAGAAAACCATACTTAATATGCCTCAACACTATAAGGTGGTTTCATGAGACCAGTCACTCTCATTGCAACTGTATAGTAATGGTGAGACCATGGACCATATTTTAGTTCTTGCGGACCACTGGTGGCCCATTGACCATAGGCTGGAAACCACTGATATAGTGCAAAGTCATTCTAAGCCAGCATCTGTAATAGCCCTTGGAAAGATTATACTCAGCCCCAAAGTGTGGATGAGTGAACCTTCTCACCCAAGCTTTTCCTAGTTACATATTAAGACATTCATGTACAAGGAGCCTTAATAAGAAAAGGTAGGGTAGCTTGGTCTAAACTTGCTGTTAACCTATGTAGAGTAAGCAAAAGCACTTGCCTCACAGGGAGAGTTTTTCATTGGAGCTGGAAACACTGCACTGGTCATCACCACTGCTTCTGCAACTGGTATCTCACTGGTGTTCAGCAAAAATGAACATTCTGTAGGGGAGGAAAGGAGGAGAGATAAGTGGACTACTAGAGCAAGGTTGATTAAAAGAGTAATTAAACTTTTATGGAATAATCCAGACTATTTGGCTTTAATGGGTTTGTGTGTGTATGCACTCACACATGTCTAAGAGTGTTCATGCAGATGTCTGATAGTCTCTTATTATAGAAGCATAAAATACAACTAAAGGCATTTTCAATATTCTTTCAGTGTAGTGATGCAGTTTCATATACTCTAAGGTTCTCTACTTGGGAATTATATGCAAGCACTTTCTGTCTGCTTTCTTCACAAACAATGTTTATCCCCATCTTGGGATTTGTTTTCTTTACTTGATCCGTATCAAAAGGCATCCAATTTCTTCTTCTTCTTTTCCCCAAAAATTGATTTTGAGTAAACCGTTGCTGTTATGAAAGATGCAAAAGTAATATTTCACTGAAGCTGCAGGCTGAAGGTCACTCCTATCATCATGAAGGATGCAGGAAGAGAACTCCAAAGGAATAGAAATCTTAGTGCTCAGAATTATAGAGCCTTGAAAATGAAGTAGGTTCTTATTCCTTCGTTTGCAGCCTAAGACACGGAAGGAGTACAATGCTAATAACTGCTCTCTGGGTTACCTCTCCCAATTGTGGACATGTTCATTTCTAATAAGGATTGTACATTTTTAAAAAGAAAGAAAATGGTTACAGTCTTCTGCTGCATTAGGAGGTACCCATCATGTGTAGCAAGTGCTATGCTAAAATGTGCACATCCACCCCTCCTCCCCCAACAAAGAAGTTTCCAATTTGCTAGGAAGCACTTGATGGATTTTCCAGAATAAATTGAAAACTCATCCCAAGATACTCAAAATATGGTTATTTTATTAGCAAAACTATTCAATACATTTCAGCCCATGTAAGATCTTTCTCAACAATTACTGGAATCAATGTTCAGAAATTTCTGGCTCAGGAATTCTCAAACTGATTAACTGAAAATGTCTGAGTTTGGATACTAAATAGTCTTCTGGGCCTTGTCATGTTTTCTAACTTTCATCAATGAAATTATGGAGCATATGCATCTTCAGCACAACATTGAGATCTTCTGCTCATTGGAAACCATCGTTGTGTGATGTCCTGGAGCTTCTCATCATACGGTGTTAATCTAACCTGTTGTGGTTAACTAAATTAGCTTTGACTTATGGCCAACCCATAAATGAGACACCCCAAGTCACCTCATCATCTCAGACCCTACTAGTAGTAGTACTACCTTTTGGTAAACAAAAATGCTTATTCTGTGGGTTTCCAATATGCCAGAAATGGGCCTCTTGAGGGGTTGGTGAACTCTGAGTCCATCCACAGTCTCCATTCTCAAAGGAGCAGTAGAAGCCAGGGGGGAGTTTTTCTGCAAGAGAAATTATGATAAAGGAGAAAAGAAAATCTGATCAGCAATTTCATCTGGTTATCTGGAATAAGTATGTGAAAGGCCACAATATGTGATGTCAAATAAATATGTATAGTATTTTTTCTGTTTTCCAAGAGTGCCCACATCAATTAGCAAAAAGACCTTTACTGCTATAATTCTCAACATATGGTCCCCAGATGCTTTAAACTACAACTCGTATCATCCTTAAACATAAGCCACACCCAACATTATAAACCCAGTCTCCAAGGGCCCAATATAGTAATTCACAGCATCCTGGTTACAGAGGCTAATATTTTTACCTTACCTTTACCTTCATATAATAATAATTAATATTGCGTGCATCATTCAAAAATACATCACACAGTCCTAAACGCTTAGGAAGTTTTCAACTTGCGATTTTGTGATACAAAATTCAGCATATATCTCATTTGCTGTGTCATACTATGTTTTTGTGTCATAATAATAATAATAATAATAATAATAATAATAATAGTATATCGGCCTATCCCCCTACAGGGACTCAAGGTGGTTTCCAACATATAAGCAAACATTCAATTGCCAGAAAGAAAACCATACAGACAATTACATCAAAATAAACACATTTGACAATATAACACAGCCTAATTTAACTTAACAAACAAAATAACAACTAAAAGCATAACAAAAAACCAAAATATATCAAATGAGTCTCCTTGTGGAGAGAAAAAGTGGGGTATAACATAATAATAATAATAATAATAATAATAATAATAATAATAATAATAATAATAATAATAATAATTAGTGTGTATCAGAGATATTGAGTTCCTATAATACTATAATAATAACTTTATTTTTATATCATGCCACCATCTCCCTGAAAGGACTCGGGGCAGCTTACAAGCAGACTAAGCCCAATAACAACAAAGTTAGACAAGTAAAGACACATTAAAAACCCAATAAACATATGGCAATCTAATTACACAATTAAAACAGTAAAATATAAAAACATCATTAGAATAAATTAAAGCCAATCTCAATAACCAGAATCTCAATCTCCTAGAGTTAATTTTCTCAACTAAACTTTACCAACAACTTAGGCATTATGTGTGTCTATAATTCTTTCACTTATGATCTGGTATCAGCTAGTAGCCACAGAATGCCAACCAAAAGAATTAAATTGGAGGTGGTAGTAGAATTCAATTGACAAGGCACCATAGGAGGAAGAGCCGGGGGGGGGGGGGGGGGGGGGGGGGGAGAGGGGCGGAACGTGGCAGCACCTTTAAGCTTTTTATTTTAGTATGAGCTTTTGTGTATATAACCAGACTGCCACCTATAAAAGTATATGCTACTTTCCTCCCTCCCTTTCTTCTATTTCTGGTGCAAGAAACTGACATGGCTATTTCTTTGAAAAATATCACAGTGTGTTAGAATATTTTTGGAAGATGTGTTTGCAAGCAGGTTCTATAATAATATTTTTTTCCCCTAGGAGGCTGCCTTAGATCTGGAGAAGACCCATGAAGTACTGGGAAAGTGAATTCTAACCTTTACAATGGAATAGTTTAATATAGAGTGTCTTATTTTTATTTCAGTATAGAACAACATTTCTCAGCCTGGGAGTCAGGACCTGAGGGGGCAGTCGCAAGGGGGTTTCTGAGGGGTTGCCAAGAACCATCAGAAAACATATATTTAATAACCGCTTTGGCAGAGAAGGTTGAAGATCTCTCCTGTTTGGAAACAGATGGGAAATCCTTCCTCCAAAAGCCCTCCTCCACTGTAATTGGCTGGCTTCTGAGACTCCAAATGGGGAGGGGAGAGCAGGCATGCTCTGCGCATGGCAAGGTGGTGTGCATGTGCGGGTGAGGGAGAGCATGCAGGGCTGGAGGAAGGTTCATGCCAGTACCTTCAAGGCATGGAGGTTCTGTGTGAAATTTGGCCCAATTCTATCATTCATGGGGTTCAGAATACCCTTTGATTGTAGGTGAAGTATAAATTACTACAACTCCCAAATGACAAAATCACCCCCCCCCCAAAAAAAATCCCACCAGTATTCAAATTTGGGCATATCAGGTATTTGTGCCAAATTTGGTCTAGTGAATGAAAATACATTCTGCATATCAGAAATTTACATTACAGTTCACAACAGTAGCAAAATTACAGTGATGAAGTAGCAATGAAAATAATGTTATGGTTGGGAGTCACCACAACATGAGGAACTGTATTAAGGGGTCATGACATTAGCAAGGTTGAGAAACAGTGGTCCATCCTCACCTATTTTTAATACACTTGTATGCATTCTGATCTGTCCTACCCGCTGTCTGCTACTGATGTAAGTTGACCAGATCCATGCAAATGTCCATATAATTGAGTAGCCTCTCAATCAGGGTGCCATTTTTAAACATTTCAGTATACCTAGGGATGAAAATCTTTGCTTTTGAATATTCTCTATATATAAGAGGGGGGGGGGTCTGTTTTATTCCTATTAAGTGAGATTGTGTAAGCTTTAATTTTGAGTGTTTCCTGATTATTTTTTCACATTTTGAAACAGAAACAACCACAAAGGGTTTTTTTGTGCACAAAATTGTTTTGCACAACATTTTTTAGAAGATTTTAGAATCTTAGAAAGAGAGCTGCATTTATGTCCAGGCTTAAAGGTGGATTAATGTAGAAATAGGACAGAAAGACCTTGTGAAAGAACGGATCCAAAATGGACCCAGATTCCATCCCTATAGGGATGAGAATAGAAAATTATTTTTCTACAACTATACAGGCAGTTCCCAAGTTATGAACAAGATAGATTTTGTAGGTTTGTTCTTTAGTTGATTTTGTATGTAAGTCGGAACAGGTACATTTTAAAGTGTAACTCCAGCCAATCTCTCTCTCTCTCTCTCTCTCTCTCTCTCTCTCTCTCTCTCTACACTCACACGCATGCATACTTTGGATTTATTTATTTATTTATTTATTTATTTATTTACAACATTTGTATCCCACCCATATCAGCTCGAAGGTGATTGGATAACATAGGGAAGGGTGAACACCCATGTTCCTGTGATAATCAGATTTTGAAAAATGTATAAAGTTTCAGTTGAGACACCTTTACCCCATGATAACTCTTCCAGAAGTGATTTCCCTTCCAAAAAGCAGGTTTCTCTCACTTCCCCATTCTTAATTTGGAGTCATTTGTAAGTCGGAAGTTTATAACTCAGGGACTGCCTGTATAATTAAATAATTGTATTGGTCAGGCTATCACAGGCAGTACTCATGAGTTTTCTGTAGATGTTTTATAGGCATGAAAATCCATCTCCTGATGCCTATAAAATGGCTACAGAAAACTCAGGAGTGCTGTGATAGTCTTTCCAATTAAATTATTTAGTTATACAGCTTCTTTTAAAATATCCTTGTTTCTCTCTCCCTTCATCCTACTCCCCTCCCCCTTTGGGCTCAACTTATTTCACTTGCTGCAAACATAGGTCAATGGGCTAAAGTAGTTGGCAGTTAATGAACTCAGAAGGGAAAAGAGTAAAACAGCATATTGAATGTTACCCTTGAAGTAGGTTCAAGCAAAAGCAAACTTCTGCAGCTGCTTTTAACTTACGAGATCTTTCTCATTCAATATTTATTGATCACATATATTCTGGATTTCATCTTTGAAATGCTGGATGCTATACTGGTACATTTTACTATGGAAGTCTACTTTAATACCTTCGGTGACTAAGAAAGATTTCCTATAAATACATAACAGGTTAAGATATGTGAAGCAATGTTGCTGTTCATTTTGAATGTTATAGAAAGGGTAGCCAAAAAAATAAGAGATTTAATGACACCATAGTACGAGTGAAAGAAGCAGAACAGAGAAGAAGAGAGAATAAGAATTCTGCAGAAGTTGGACCTTTCTATCACAACTGAGCACTAGAGCATTAGACACAGCATTGATTCAACTACATCCAGGAATACAATTGTGGAGAAAAATCCATATTAGTTCCTCCATAGAAGCTTTCTTAGGAGAGCAAGATGGTAATTGACTAAATACACAACTTTAAAAATTGCCTTTACTGGAATTCATTAGAGATGCAAATGATATTTACAAATTTTCTCATCAGTAAAAGGCAGAGTGACTAAACATTGTCAAGCTGCCTCTGTGAGTCAAGGGACATCATTTTTTGTAATTTCTAAAACACATTTTGTGACATATCTATATGATAAATTCCAAGATATGCAGATATGCCATACTACTAGCACAAAAATAAAAATAAAAACCTCAGGATAATTAATGAAGAAAGTCAATGTAGAAGTGCAAAGGGAGGTTTTCAGCTGAACATCAACAAAATAAAATTAATAACCATACGTAACTTTCAACTGGACAATGCAGATATTGAAATACTTTGAGATTTTCCATACTTTGACTCACTCGTTAATCGAAGTGGAGACTGCTGTTAAGAAATCAAAAGACAAGGACTTGGAAGGGCAGCTATGAAGAAACCCTGAAGTCTACATAAAACTGAATATTAAAGTTGGGGTGGCCCTATATTCCTTATTTCTGTGTATGTTCATGAAAACTGGACAGTGAAAAAAGCTGATTGGAAGAAAAGTAATTCATTTGAGATGTGGTGCTAGGGAAGAGATGTACATATATTGGAGGACTGCTACAAAGGCCAGTAAATGAATCTTAGGCACAAACTCTCCTTAGAAGCCAAGATGACTAAACTGAGGCTGTTGTACTTTGGCAATATCACGAGAAGATATGACTAACTAGAAAAAAACCCCATGATAATAAATTGAAAGGTGATAGGAAAAGAGAAAGTGTGAATTTCAGTTGGATAGACTAAATCAGAGAAGCCATGGCCCTGAGTCTGCAAGACCTAAACAGGGCTGCTGAGGCGACTTGGAAATATTTCATTCATGAGGTTGTCCTAAATTGAAGTCAGTTTGAAGGCCGCTAACAACAACAAATAAATTCTGATTCAAGAAGTTTGAAATATAAAGGATAGCTGCCTTTGGCT